CCCCAAAACCCCAAAACCCCAAAACCCCAAAACCCCGGTTAACAAAACCCATATTGAAATTTCCTCATAACAATGAGCTATCTGTTTTGATTGAATTCCCACACCTATTTGATGGTAGTTTTCTTCTTACCGTCAGTAGAACTTGGTTAAAAATAAATTCCTCATCAATCGAACTAAAACCTCTAATTTGTGTTTTAGTTCTACTTCAGAGATTTAAACGTACTGTTTCTTACTTTAAAGATAGAAGAATCTAAGGCAAGCTAAATTGGGTGAGGATTCTAGTCTCAATTGAGGAAAATAGATCATCTAATTCTAATTGGATCTGGGGCATTAAACTATTAATTGGTGTGCCAATTTGAAAGAAATTTATTGGCTCATTTAACTCCTTTTCAATCCGATTCCAGTTATTTTTAACTCTGTTGTACCTTCAAATTCGGTTGTCTCTATCTCAGCATCTGGGACTACTTGATTTAAGATTCTTATCATCCCATTGATGTGACCTGTAAGAGGTGATACTGTTCTAATATTGGAAGTACCCTCTGCTAATGCCATGAAAATCATAATTTGGTCAGCATGATGTTCATCCACTCAGAGAGTCTCATTGTTTATTAATTCTAAAATATCTTGGAGATATTTATCAATTTCTTCAGTCATCGGCATGGATGTGTACTCTCCTTTAACTATTTTTTTAACATGCTTTATTCCATCAAATAAGAGCTCCTTTTCAAGTATAAGTCCATTCTCTAAGGTAATAATACAGCTTCAGTAGAGAGTGGCTGCTTTTGCCCTTGGGTTTTTGATCTCACAATATTCTGAGTGCTCAGTGACTTCCAGTCCGAGTTCTGATAACTTCTCATTAAGAGAGGGAATGAGACCACCTGAGATTTGGGACTCATAAGCTTCCTTCATATGCTTGTTACAGTATACACTCCTTAAATCTACACTTACAACAGGAGCCCTTTTTGTGAAGTCTATGGGTCTAAGTGGCAACTCAGAAGGAGTAGCTACAAGATCACAGCTCCCTCTAACATCCGGGAAGAATCCATGCTTTTTGACACTGTAAGAGAAATCTACCCCAAAATTCGCAAGCAAAGGCTTTAGAATATGGTTTATGGAAACATAGGAAGGAGCCCAATTACCGATACTACCCCCTTTCATATGGACTGTTGTCTCTTCTCTTTCAGGATTTTTAGCAAATATAATTGCAGGAAGTAACACTTGGAGTAGGAGTTGCATGCTTCCTGCCCCTTTACACTCTGCTGAGATTTCTTTATTTTCTATGGTTCCTTCAGACTCAAAGTATACTTCACTAGATCCCATTTTAGCTCCAGTAGACTCTGCATTACTCATCTCTATCATCGCTTTGAGTCCAACTAAGTGCTGGTCTTTAAGACCTGGAGGTTTTCTGTTAGCTCTAATATTACTAACAACAAGAGGTTTGGCTAATATCTGAGCTAGAGCCACACTCATTCTGAACATCTGGCCGCCTCCTTCCTCTTCGGAGCCATCAATGTTGATAACGTCTTGGTTGGATTCCATATTGGTAATATTTGTCAATAAAACTAGCTTTATTGGGGTTTTGGGGTTTTGGGGTTTTGGGGTTTTGGGG